TCCCTCCTGCAGAGGTCTTGCTCACTGCATGTCCTGAGCTAGTGTCCCCTGGGTATCTGTCAGCAGTCACGAATGCTGTCGTTCCCACCTGGTACTTTTGGAAATGCCATTTTCACGGTTTCTAGGTCTGGGCCCCACTCTCACCTGTAAGGTGGTTTGCCTCCCTCAAGAAGCTATCTGCAAGCAAGGAAATGAACATGGCTCACCGTGTTTGTGCTTGGTGTTTTCCCAGAAAGCCAGGCCCTGCCTTGGTACCCCTGGCTCAATAGAAGGCCAGATTCCAGTTCTTTGTCGACCACCAAACATTTTCTTTCACTCATGGGTTTTGTAGATTCCATCCATTATTCCAGTCATTCCACTGTACTGTCTTCTAAGCCATCAGCAACCAGTGCACCTCGGGGGTTTAAGGCTGAACCAAACAGCAACCCCATCAGCTTGCCAGCTTCCCTAGAACCACCCCCACCCCCAGAAGGGCAGCCAGGCCCATCCAGGTATGCGACAGCCAACACAGTGGGAGGGCTATCTCCTCTCCCTCAGCAGCCTGTTTGACTTTTATTCAGGGACAAATGTTTCCACTGTCAGAGGCTTCTAGGCATCAGATCCTAGATGAAATCAAGAGGCCTTCCTAGTCCACCAATTGTGTCTGCATTTTCTTGGTTCTAAATATTTTAGGCAAATCAGAGATCTGCTGTAGACGTTGATCAGAATACCAATTTTGACCAGTAGTCAGAGAATCCTTTTAAAGTAAACATTTTCATTTCTTTCTTTCATTTCACTCTGGGGAGCAAAGAGGCAAAAGAGGTCTCTCCCATGATTATAGTCACCACAGAATAAAAAAAAAGTCACCTCATGACTATCCTGGAAGCATGATCCATTTTTCTTCAGGGTGAGCCTCTGCAACAACTCGGGATGCTTCAGGATCCTACGAGATTCTGTTCACATTACATGGTCATTCATTCATGGATTTACAAATAGCTGGGCAGCCCTTGATATGTACATAGTGCCAGTCCTGCAGCCAGTGGGAGGGGTACATTTCATTTACCTGCCCCAACCTAATTGCCAGGAGTGTGCTCTTCAGTTAGAGCCCCACACCAGTGATGGCAAGAAGACGGCAAGCCTTGTCCNGACGGCAAGCCTTGTCCCTGCCTCCTACCTCTTGCCACAACCGGCTGGCTGCCCTCAGTGTGGTTTGTCATAAGGTGCCCACAGAAGGCACAGTGCTGTCCTTCTGTGGCTCCCATTTCTCCTGAGAGCCCATCAGCCAAAATCTTAAGAAGGGGATGTTTCTGACCCTTTCTGAGCTGGGGCTTGGAGTTTCTGGGCCAGAGTAGGCAGCAGCTGGCCCAGGAAGTCATGGGGAAAAGCTGTTTGCCTAGCGCTGTAGACATCTGTGCAAATGCTCTGGGGTCAAAAGGAGCAGAAGGCCAGGGGTTTTAAAATCAGAATGCCTACCTGAAGGATGCCTGACCTGTGTCACTGGGCAATGTGGGTGTCCTCGCAGTGTTTCTCTGACAGTGTATCAGCATCCTGGGGCGAGGGATGTGATTAGAGTGTACTCATTGTTTTCCACGGAGGCATTCTCCACAGGTCAGTCTGGGTTTCTGCTCCCTCTGCGGGCTTCCTGCCATATAACTGTTTTTAGGAAAGAGGAGATAGATTCAGACATCAGAATATCCCAGGGTCCTTAAAGACTTGTCCATAGATGGGCTACATCATGGTCATCTGTGGAGATCTACTTTAAATGCAAGTTTCCAAGCCCTCCTCCCAAAGTTAATGACTTAGTAGAGCAGAGCCTGAAGCAACTGCATGCATTAAGAATTTTTCCTAAGTGATTTGAATGCTCAGACTGCCATGCAAGCTATAGTGTCTGAGTCACTTTACCAAGACCTTGATTTTTCTTTTGGTGAATGAATGCATTGATTTGAGATTCTCAGGTTTGTCTCCATGAGACTCAAATAAAATGCATGGAATGCACGTTTCCCCACAGTCCTAGCCTGCTTCTGCCCTCCTCAGAGGAGTTCCAGGTGTAGGGAGTCTTGTCACAGGGGCAAGGACCGACTCACACCCAGGGGTGATTGGGACCATTAACGTGCAGACGTTCTCACCTCTCTGTGCCTGGGACAGCTGGGAGAGGCTCTCATAGCTGCCTGGAATACAGCTATGCCACCTTGCCTGCTTTAGTCGGTTGTTTCCAAGATGAGCATAGAATATGTATGCCGGAAGTCCCCAGCAAGGGAGAAGGCAGAGGGGTCCGCTAAGCCTGGCTCTTGGGTGGCAACCCTGGCCCTTCGCCTTGTTGGCCGTCACCATGCTGAATGATAGCCACCCCCAAGGAGACATCAGGAAAAGAAATAGTTTCATTTTCTCCATCTTTTCCCCATTCCTTTCGTTCTAATGATGTGTCTCCTTTCTTCCCAACTCTGTGTTTCTAGGCCTTCACTTTCCCTCCATACCCACGCTGGTTAGTCTTCCCCAGGCACCACTGCCCTCAGCAGCACCCAGCTTCCTGCCTTTCAGCCCCACTAGCCCTCCCCTCCTTGGCTGCTGTGAGACCCCCATAGTCTCCTTGGCAGAGGAGCTGCAGGAGCTGCAGATGCTGCAGAAACAACTGGGAGAAAGTGAACAATCCCTGTGGCCTTCATGTGCTTGGGCCAGGCTGCCCCACCCCATGTGGCCCTGCATGGCTTTGGCTTGGCGGCGGAGTTTTGAAAAATGACCTAGGGTATGCACGTCGCCAGCAGGGGACTGGCGGGTGGCCCTGCTTGCTTTTTTTTGGCGGGGGTGAATACCTATACTGTTGTCTTTCTGGTGTGTGTGTGTGTCTCATCATTTCGTCAGGCCCTAGACCTGCTCCTGTCCCGCTGCTGCCAGTGTGGGGTACCAGCAAGTCTGCTGAAAGCCTGACACACCGGTGACATGTCTGCAGGCAGGACACGGGTGAGAGCTTTTGTGCCTTGCCTATATAGGTGAGACAAAGTGGCCATTTCCAGGGAGTCCTTTCCATGCCTACGATAGTCTCCTGCTGTGAAACACGCTCTTCATCAAGTTCGGCTCCTTAGGTTGATTGTGTGAAGTGTAGTAGCAGTAGAGGGATTCAGAAGAGGTGACAAAGCCCCCCTTCCTAGGGCACAAGGTTCATTTCTACCCCGGGACAGGTGACAGATTGGCGGCTCCAACCGGAAGCACAGGCTGTGATACCTGATTGTAAATTCTGTCCTCTGACTCCCAGAGATCATTGATCATATTGATCGTAACCGTTACAGGCTCTGTATGGTCATCTTTTTGGAAAGGCTTTGATATATGTCTGGGTTGGATGACTCATTGTCAAAATTGTTGGTATGGGGTCATTTATAGGTTAGGAAAAAAAAGAAAAATCCTCAAATGAGGAATTTGCTCTCTAGTAATGCTTTAAAAAAAAAAACAACCTAGAAATCATTTTGATGTTACCTTAAAACCACATTATGTGCCCTCAATAAATAAATAAATAAATAAATAAATAAATAAAATAAAATAAAGGCTCAAATGAGCCAGAGATTGATGGTAAGGGAAACCAGGCACAGTGTCCAGTGACCTAGGACCACAGCTGAGAATTCATATACCTGAAGCCCCAATTGTCATTTAGTCCAGCTTCTTTCTTTCTTTCTTTTTTTTAAATATGGAACGCTTCATGAATTTGCGTGTCATCCTTGTGCAGGGACCATGCTAATCTTCTCTGTATCGTTCCAATTATAGTATATGTGCTGCCGAAGTGAGCACAGTCCAGCTTATTTCTTATGTCAATTCTGAAAGTGACCACACTCTCTAGTCTACTCTGTCCCAGTTTGATTCCCAGAAACAATTAGATAACACCCTTTTTAGGAGAGTTTGTACAGCTCCCTTTTCTGCAGGCAGTAACATCTAGAAGACTGCCTCCTGCTTATCACAGCTTTACCCAGGTGTAGCAATCTACGCTAACCCAGCAACACAAACCTGGTCTTCTTGAGCCTCACACCACTTGTGTGATAGGTAGAGCCCAGGCAGGGAACTAAGGCTCAGGGAAGTAGAGCTACTTCTCTAAGGTTACTAGCAAGTGGGAGAGATGGGCTTAAATCCAGGTCTTCTGTTCACAGTCCTATGTTTCCATGATACCTTTTCTGTCTAGGATGGTTTTGTTACCATCCTACTCAGAGATAAGCTCAACAAATTCTGGAATCCCCTTGAAACAATCTTTTCTCTGTCTCTTTAGAGATCAGTAGATGATTCATCAGAACCTCTGATCTAGAATTTGACATTTTAGCAGTTCTGGAACCAACAGTTGATGGAAAACAATTTTGTCCCATATCAAAATGGCAAGAGAGATCTCTAGCTGACTTTTCTTTTCCTTTACCTTTCCATATTTGTCAGTTTGTTCAAATGGAGAAATAGGAGACATCTGTGCATGAAAAAGGGTCTGTTGATGGGATCAAGTCATACCTAGTCTGACCAATGGCTGGCCCATTGACCGTTTGGATGGTCCCAGCTTTGGTGAGCAAGATGACAGCCCTGTCTTTTCTGTCCTGAAGCACAGGCCTCTCTGAGGGATGGCAGCTTATCAGTGTTCCTTGTCTGCTTGGAAACAAGCTTCCTCGTGGACAGTGGTGCATGGCGGCTTCTTTGGGCACAGTGGGGCAAAGATCTCCTTGTGTTAGAGTCTGTCTGGCATCTTTGCATGGTTTAGGGCATGTGCTCAATGTTGTGTGGCCTGGGCAACCAGGAACATGAGAATGCTGATCGCTGTTACTGATAGACTTGGAACCTTCTACAGCCTTGGTTAAAATGTAAGCTGTTGACAACCCCTGATTTCCCCCTTTGCCTTGTGTTGGGCTGGGGAGGAAGGGGGTGTGAAAGAGGCAGGAGATCACATCTTTACAATACCAACTAAAATCTAGATGCTGAGGGTCATGGGTAGCTCAGTGACTCTCAGTGAGTTAGGCATCTGACTCTAAATCTCAGCTCAAGTCTTGATCTCAGGGTGATGCGTTCAAGCCCCACATTGGGCTCCACGCTGGACATGGAGCCTACTTTAAAAAAAAAAGATTCAGATGCTGACATTTTTCATCCCCCAGTGATCCTAAGGAACATCTATTATTTTGCAGATTGAGGAAGGAGAGACCCATGATGGGTACTTCTCAAACTTTGCTGCCATTAGAATCACCTGGGATGGTTTTAAAACATCCAGTGCCCAAGCTGTATCCCAAGTTAAGGCAAAATCTCTGGGAGGTCCAGGCATCAGTATGTGTTTGTTTACATTTTCCAAGGTGACTGTAGTGTGTAGATAAATTTGAGAACCAGTTACAAATGGAGATAAAAATTGACAAGTAGCCAATTGCATTATCCCCTCTGAGGAGTTTGGCTTAGTTGGAGGGAATGATGACCTCTTCCTCTTTGCTTAGGTCAAGTTACCTGCTTACTATGCTGCCCATGCTGATAATCCTTGAAGGAAAGCAGTCTTCTGAATAGGAATATCCTAAACTACAGACCTGCCCACCNAAGCAGTCTTCTGAATAGGAATATCCTAAACTACAGACCTGCCCACCTCTCTCTGTCTCTCCCACAGCCTGGACTTCTTTTCACATAGAAGCAGAGACGATTTGGCTCAGGGGAAAGCCCATGATTTCCTAAGATCTATGAGAGCATCCGCCTATGTTAAATGAAAGGTCTCACATCCCTCCATGGATGCTAGCATTGAGCACATCTACGAATAGGAATGTACTATATCCCCCAACTTTGGGACTGAGTTCTCCTTCCAGAACTTTTCTGGACTGTATCATGAGGAATTATAGTAGAAGCCAGGAGTGCAGCCTCTGGACTTTTCCTTTGGGTACACTGGTGACTTCCAGATACTTTGTCCATCCTCTGCCTCTTGGTGTCTCATGCCAGCAAACACATGAGGTGAAAGTTATGGCTTCTAGGTTATGGTCTTCATCTAACTGGTATTCCACAATGGACTGGGATTTCTGACATCACACATGTCCCCTTTAGTGTCCACTTTTAGCAATCCCACACTTCCTTGCTGGTCCTTCCCTTCCAATCCTCTCTTTCTCACTCTGGTTTCTTTTTGCCCAGGTGTCAGCACCATCCATCCTGCTTCCCCAACTGCACTGCCAAGCAACCATTTAGAAGCCAGCTCTTCTCACTATCTCAACCCCGCCCAGCCCCACTCTCCACTGAGGGGCAGCCCAGAACTGGGCAAAACCCTGGAGCCTGGCTATCTGGGCAGCAGCAGCCAGTGGGATGTGAGGAGGCCTCAGAAAGGGAGTGTATCAGGCGACCTGTACTCAGGATCCTCTGTGTGTCAGCTTAACTCCAAACCCACAGGTAAAACCTAAAGCCAAACAGGTCAGTCTGCAAAATGAAATCTCATTTAGAGTCTTCTAGCTGGGCAGGGGCATTTTTCATTTCTCTAGTCCCTGGCTCACAGAGTGGGGGTAAAATTAAAGGGTCCCATCTCTGCTGGACCTCCTAAGTGCCCCACTTCAGCCTCCCTGCCCAGGGCCTCAGTGCTGTTCGGGGAACTAGGAAAGTCAGGGACACACCTTGTGCTCTCAAGTTCATGTCATTAACCACACAGGAGAAGTTTATATCCATGGACTTCTACTTTATGCCTCCTTTCTGAGGCTGGAGGAAGGGCTTGATGCCTCGTTAAAGAATATTTCATCAAGTAACCATAAGAATGATATCAGGCTAAAGTGAAGTCTTCCCTAACACACTCAGGAGAGAAAGTCACACCACACCTTTCCCAATACTTCAGTTATTTTTCTAAACCATGTGAAACTCCCTCACCCTCATCAGTTACACTGGTCACCGTACACTTACATTTAAAACTCCCTCATACTTTGGGGCACCTGGGTGGCTCAGCTGGTTAAGTATTTACCTTCAGCTCAGGTCATTATCTCAGGGTCTTGGGATCAAGCCCCACATCGAGGGCTCCCTGCTCAGTGGAAAGTCTGCTTCTCCCTCTCCTTATGCCCCTCCCCCCTGCACATGCTCTCTCTCTTTCTCTCAAATAAATAAATAGTCTTGAAACTCCCTCACAGTTAACTGTATGTAGGAGGAGGCCCCTGGTGCATGCTTCACATGGTCTGTCCTGGGTTTGACAGCCCGTTTCCTCTTTAAGCAAAGTCGCTGTGTTCCTGAGTGCCCATGTGAGAGAATGCAGTTGTTGGAAGGGTGGGATGTTTAGGGATCCTGCTGAGGAGCCACTGGCTGTACCCCACTTCCACCTGGGCACCCCTGGTGACCAGGATTCCTCATCTCGCACCTCTCCCCGGTCCTGATGGGATGGCTGCAGGGGTTGACCTTCTGGAGGAACATCTCAGAGAGATCCGAAACCTGTGTCAGTGCCTGGAGGAGTCCATCTGCATCAACTACCAGCCGCGGGAGCAGCTTGAACACCGGCTCAGCTGTGCAGCCCATAGGAGCAGTAGGAGAGGCCCAGAGCCACCCACACTGTCACAACCGGGGAGCCTCTGGAGGCTGGACTTCACACTTTCCAAAGCATGTGCTGGGCTTTCCTCTACTTGCTCCTTCCAAACAGTCTGGCAAGGCAGGGGGGACAGGTGCTCTTATCCTCACTTAGAGCTAAGAGAGAACTTTCCTCCTGGCAGAGCTAATGAGGTGTGTCTGCAGGGCATCTGACTTCCCAGCCTGTCCTTAATCTGCTCGTATATGTGCCTGCTGACCTCTCTGCCTTGTCATGGGATTGGCANCTCGTATATGTGCCTGCTGACCTCTCTGCCTTGTCATGGGATTGGCATGTGGTGGAGCCCACACTGCGGGCGCCCTCCCGCAGCCACTCACCAAGGCGGCCGTTCTCCCAACACTCTCCTCTCAGGGTGCAGTCCCTTGGAGGCCATTCCTTCTACATGCCCTTGTCCTGCCCCCAGCCCCGCAGTGGCTCCTGTGGGGACAAGAGCCTCTGGAACAGCTGCAGCTAGGGCATGTAGTAGAGCCCACACAGAAACCAGGCACTTGGGCCGCCAGGCTTGGGGTCTAGGCCTTGGGGACCCAGGCACTCCTGCTGGGTTGGGACAGTATTTCTGGAGGGACAGAATGGGTAGTTTCTGGAAAGCATCTGTTACCCTAATGTGTAACGTGTCTGCTTACACTTTCTGGGACAGGATCTACCTCCAATTTCTACAGCCCCAGCCTGGAACCCACACCTCAGCTCTACAACAAGAACAGAGTCCTTAAGGAAGAAAACCGGAGCCTTTAGGCCCAGCTGAGTCACGTTTCTAGAGGTGGGTGGTAAAAACCACACACTGCCCTCTTTCCTGGTCCCTTTCCTCCTGGCCACACCAATCACCTTTTGAAGCAAAGAGAAGAAGGTGGAGATAATAGCTAACCAGATCCACCAACCCAAAGTCCCATGTGGTTCTCAGTCTAGAAGGGGCTACTTCCTGAGAGGTCCAAACCGTGGGCCCTCACACTCCAAGGTGGTAGGGACAAAGATAGCTCTAGCAAACCCACCACCTCTGTGCAACCTGCAGATACTCAGATACTCAGTCATTAGTTATGAACTGGATACCAGTTAGGTGTCTGTTCTACCTGTCCAGACTTACTGCAGCCTCATGTGTCTCTCCCGGTACTGAGCTGCCATCCCCGTCTCTCACTTTTTCCCCTCACTCACCCAGTCCGGGCTCCTCTCTGCTCAGTAATCCTCAGGACTCTGTGCCTGGAAGAACCAGCCAGATGTCCTCCAGAGCATTCCCGACACTATTCAGTGGGCATCTAAGGGAGATGGGGCATCATTTACTATGTGACTTGGGGGATAGCTGACCTTAGTGTCAATTGACCTGATCAAATCTATATATGGTCAATAAAAATTATATTTATCTGCAAATATTTATTGAATATTCATGAAAGACTAATACTTTCCTAAAGGGTTAAGCCCAGAATGTTGTAGAACAGGAAGAGACAGCAAGTGATGGTTCTAAATCTCCCTCTTCAGAAGAGGAAGATGTGAGGGGAGAGGTCACTGATGGGGAAGTAACGAGACGTCACAGAGAAGAGAGAAGACACAACTGTTAAACCACCATTGCATGCCAGGACAGGCTAGCACAGACCTCAGTGGGGAGAAGTCACTAAGATGTGAACAAGCACGGTCAGCCAGGCCCAGGGACTTCCCCCTGGTAGAATGACAGCTCCTGCAGCCTGGTTCTCAGAGTCCCTGTCCTTAGTCTCTGGGAAATCATGCAGGTTATTGAGATTCCACAAGCCCAGAAAAGGACAGATGTGCCCATTTTCAAATTGACGAATATAATATATTCTAAAAACTGTAGACAAGAAGTCTTGATGTTGCTCTTTAGCAAAATTAAAGAACGGATTATCGGAGAGAGGGTATGTGAACTTAGAAAATAGTGAGCATTAGAAACCACAGCATTTGGGGCTCCTGGGTGGCTCAGTGGGTTAAGACCTCTGCCTTGGCCTCAGGTCATGATCCCAGGGTCCTGGGATCGAGCCTCACATCAGGCTCTTTACTCAGTGGGGAGCCTGCTTCCTCCTTTCTCTCTGCCTGCCTCTCTGCCTACTTGTGATCTCTGTCAAATAAATAAATAGAATTTTGGGGGAAAAAAAAAGAAACCACAGCTTTTGGGGCACCTGGGTGGCTCAGTTGGTTAAGCGCCTGCCTTTGACTCAGATCATGAACCCAGGATCCTGGGATGGAGCCCTCTGCTCAGCAGGGAGAGAAGTATGCATTTCCCTCTCCCTCTGTTTCCTCCCTGCTGCTCCTGCTCTATCTCTCTCTCTCAAATAAATAAATTTTCAAAAGGAGGGAGGAAGGAACAGAAGAAAGAATGAAGGAAAGAAGGAAGGAAGGAAAGGAGGAAAGAAAGAAACCGCAGCGTTTTCTCTAATAGCAGGGTAGACCTTATGAAAGCAGAAGATCAAGGGCATTGCAAAGATGGAGGCTGCACATTCCCAGGGCATGTGGATGTAGTGAGCTGACACCCTCTGCTTCTCTGAGCAGCTGTGGCATCAGCTTGCATTCCCGTTGCCTTAGTTCTGCATGACAGGATGGAGGAGCTTGGGCTCCTTGTCCTGCCAGCCTCTGCCCCCACAGTGTAAGTCGTCCTGTGTTCTGCTCCCCAGACCACTCCTAGGAGATGGAATGCCTGAGGATGGCCCTGCTGTCCTCACTATCCTGGTTTCAAGAGCTGGAGATGGAGCTGGAGCACCAAAAGAGGGAATGGCAGCAACTTCTGGAAGACTTGAAGGAGAAGCAACAGGAGATCTTGCATTTCCAGGAAGAACTCCTGTCCCTCCAAGAGAAAGACTCCAGGTAAGGGGGAGCCCAATAAAAAGGAAGGGGGCCCTGTTTTCAGATTTAATGGGATATTGGCAAGACAGGTATTGGAGCCTTTTGGGGGTGCTCAGTTTCCCCTCTGCTATTCCTGATTTATGAATAAATTCGAGCAGAAGGAAGGACTTCTCTGAGAATGCCTTTTCACCCCAAATTTGGGAGAGTAAAACCCTATTTTAGAAGGTTCAGCATATCAGGGGTGGCTGGGTGGCTCTGTTGGTTAAGTGTCTGGCTGTTGATTTTGGCTCAAGTCATGATCTCGGGGTCATGAGAATGAGCCCTGCCCTGGGTTTAGTGCTCAGCTTGGAGTCTGCTTGGGATTCTTTCCCTCCTCCTCTCCCTCCTCCTCTGCCCCTCCTACCACTTGCAGGCAAGTGATCTCTGTCTCTCTCAGATCAATTTTAAAAAAGGGGGGGGGAAGGTTCAGCATATCAGATCCTGGAGAAAAAAATGTTCTCATCCTTCCCATTAGTGTAAGGATATTGGTCTCACTGTAATGTCGGAAGCATCCCCACCAGCCATCATGCACATCCCCGACATAAACCCTATGACTGCCTGTCACCGGGAATAGAGCACCATGGGGGCAGGAAGAATACGGAGCTTGCATGTCTGCTCTCAACTAACGTAGCTAATGGCAAGACATCAAGCAAAGTTACTTCACCTCTCAGAGCCTCTGTTTCCACATCCATAAAGTAAAAGTAATGGTCTTCATGACCTCTGGGTTGACATCTAGGGCTAAAGCCCCATGATGCGAAGGCTGGCTGACAGCAGGTGGCCTAGAGGGGCCGAGGGGCGCCAGGTGCTCAGCGGGCCCTTGCCTCTCCCGTGCAGGCTGCAGCACAAGCTTGCCCTCCTGCAGCAGCAGTGTGAGGAGAAACAGCAGCTCTTCCAGTCCCTACACTCGGAGCTACAGATCTACGAGGAACTTTATGGCAATTCCAAGAAAGGGCTGAAAGGTATGTGTTCTCCCTCNCTTTATGGCAATTCCAAGAAAGGGCTGAAAGGTATGTGTTCTCCCTCCTCATCTCCCCCATAAGCTCCATGCCCTTGCTTAGGATTCTGAAGAGGTCCTTACCCTGGGAGTTGTAGAGCTCTGGAAAGCTACAAAGTTCTGCCTCAGCCAGGTCTGGGGCTCCCAGTAAGAACAAAGTGGTTCTCTCATGTGAAAGCCCAGAGGTTGGTGACATGTGCAAGATCCAGCCGAGACATCCTTAAAAGTAGTTAGATAAGAGTCCAACTCTGCCTGCCTAGGTGGCCAGAGAAAAGTTGAGCAAAGTCCAAGTTATATAGGGACTAAAAAAAAAAAATTCAAAGAACTTTCCTGATGGCACCATCATGTGAGAAGCTCTTGAATATTGTGAGTTATACATATTGCCCCCATGCAGCCAGTACGGCGGGTGCTCTGCTCCTACCCTGACGCATTCCGCAGGGAGAAAGTTAAAAGATGCACATTCACAGAAATACCTCTATTAGGATCTAAATTCCAAGCCTGGATTTAAATTTTAAACTGTTTTATTGAGGACTTTTTGCCACCTGCTAAAATACTGATCTAATGTTGGAGTATCTTCTTCTATTTCCCCATTGTTGTTCAAACGGGGGAGGGTATTGTAAACACCAAGTTAATAACTCCAACCAGGCTGGAACAGAGTACTGATGTCAATATGATGAAATTTAGAAAAGATTGGGGTGCCTGGGTGGCTCAGTGGGTGAAGCCTCTCCCTTTGGCTCAAGTCATGATCTCAGGGTCCTGGGATCGAACCCACATTAGGCTCTATGCTCAGTGGGGAGACTGTTTCCCCCTCTCTCTCTGCCTGCTTGTGACTCTGTCAAATAAATCAATAAAATCTTTTTAAAAATTAAAAATAAAAGAAACTTAGAAAAGATAAAAAAGAAAGAAAGAAAGAAAAAGAAACCCTGAGCTTGATTGAAAATATCAGTGGTAGAGGTACAGGATCAGGAGGTCTGGCTCTCTAGCCATTTGTGGACTTGAGAATGGGGAGTTACTTAGAAACCCACTGAAACAAGGAACTTGTAGGCAAAGGTTGCTACAAAAACCAATTCAACCTGAAACCACAGTAGGGTGAAAGACCATGTCAGAAATATTGTTAGATTGTGGGACACCATCTTGTAAAAGGGACTTTGGCAAACCAGGGGGCAAAGTGAAGACAGGAGCCACCATGCCAGGTGACCAGAAATCTTGAACTGTTAGAGAAACTAAACAATTTTCGGCCTGGACAAGATCACAAGGAGATGAGAACTGGTTTTAAATATTTGAAGAACTATCAGGTGAAAAAGAGCTGTTGTGTTTGGCATCTCTTTAGAGGTCTGAACAAGGGTCACCAAAGGATAAAGGGCAGTAGAATTTGGACTTGCATCATTCTTATGCCTTCCTGACCACTAGAGACTTTGAGTGATGGAATTGCTAGTTTGTGAAGGAATAAGCCTCCCATCCAAGCCCCTTTAAATAGAAAGGGATGACTTGTCAAGGATCCCATAGAAACAGCTCTTGCTTTGGATGGGATGTCTAAGCCTTTCAATTCTAATTTTTTTAATTATCTGTTTAAAAATTCCTTAAGCAATACAGAATTTTCAATATTCAGCCAAATTTGAATTTTCATAAAACCTGATTGGATTTCCTAACTTGCTGATGAGAAGGTGAACCAGAACTTGAGGAAGTATCAGGGGCACCGCAGGCTGAGAGAATAGCTTCTGTGCACTCCTGGGAGCATCGGGTCCAGGCTTCCCCATGGAGAGCTCTGTATCCGGGAGTGTGGGAAGTCAGTTCAGTTGAGATGGCTGCTGGTATACAGAGGAGCTATGAAGTACCATGAAAGTTTACATTCTACAGAGTGGGCCATGGAAAATGAGTACGTTTTTCCAAACAAAACAGATACTTGATGGGAACAGAACTCTCAGACTAGTGGGACACACTGGAGTCGGGAGACACTCCAATCAGGGAAACCCACTGAATGGGTGTGGTTATGGGGTATTTACATGAGTAGAGTCTGATCTAAGGTGCCGTTGGGAAGATAAAGAGGAATAAAGAGGATAGAAGAGGATAGAAGACAACATTTTTAGAAAGAAGCAAAACTTTGTGAGGATTTGGATATAGGGAAAGAAAGATAGGAAGGAGCTTCATGGAGCTTTGGGGTTGGTAGATACTAACCATAGACTGCAGGTGCCCCGTGAGGACTTCTCAGGGGGAGTTGCCTCCCGCCTGACCTCCAGCCTCTTTGTAAGATGCTATAGCAGTATTTGGATACTATGGTGCTTATAAAAACATAATGCAAATGAGTAAAAACAGAAAATATGGGATGTTTTCAGAAAATTTCTCATAGTAAACTCTTATCCCTTATAACTTGTAGTAACAACTTGGAGAAGCCTTTCTATACGAACTTCTTGGGAGCAGTTTTTCATTTGTAAATTCAGTATGATTTTTTTTCCTTTCAATTTTGTTTTTATATGACAGAGGAAAAAAAATCCCTTCATCCTGTCTACATCCTCTTTCGTGCCTTTCTCCCTTCTTGTAGTTGTTTTAGGAGTCATTTCAAAGCTCCTACCTCTGAAGCCCCATAGTTTCTTATCCTTAATTCTGTAATCCCATGAGAAACATGAATTCTTGTGGTAGCTCTTTCATATACTCATTTGGTCACAAAACCTGTCTGAACTGACCAAAGACTTTACTTAAACCCACTCAGTGATAATGTTCACCCGGCTTATCACAGAAATATGAATGTATTTGACTAAAGGCCTGTGGCCCAGAGGCAGCCTGGTGTATGGGCTACATGAGAGATGGTGTACAGATCCTATGGCCTTCCTAAACAACAAAACAAATTCTACTTCTTGAAATATATTTGGCTTCAAGCTTTCAGAGAAGATATGTGGTTTAGTAGAATATTTCTTAGCTGTCTTCATCCCTAGTACAAAGAAACAGACTGTGGTAGCAAATGGAGATTTAAAAAACAAAACAAAACAAAACAAAACAAAACAAAACAAAAACAACATGGCAAAGTAGAATAGTTCAGTGAGTTGTGACCCCTGGCCTCTAGCGGAGACTCCCGTTCCTCCATGCTTCCAAAGGCCTGGTGCCTCCTCTCCTCTCCCTGGTGACCTCCTCCTCCTCTCCATGGTAACTCTTGAGGACGGAGGGCATCAGCTTTCCTCCTCTTGCATCCCCTGTCTTTCTCTAGCCCAGTGCTGACCCCCCCTATCTCTTAAGACCCTGCTCTCTGGCCTATAGGACTAGGGTGACTGTGGAAGTCAAATAATAATAGGCTTTGACCCCACCTGCTCATGGAAGGCTCTCCAGATGCAGGTGGGTCACGTGAATCTCGGGGCAGTTCCGGTGTGCGGTATCTCGCTCAGTGAGTGCAGAGACCCACACAGGAAACAGGCAGCTCCATCCCAAATGGGTTGCCTGGGGCCCTGAGAGGACAGCGGGGTCCCGAGCAGAAAGGAATGCCCCAGAGGAGTGTTCTGACAAATGCTTGAAAAAGCTTGGTTCTGAGCCACCAGACCCCTTCTCTCTCTCTTCTTCAGCTCCCTCCTGGGATGCCTGTCTCCAGGTCCCTTTGAGCAGTGAGCTGAGCCACCTGGTGGCAGAGATCCGAGCTTTGCGAGGGCAGCTGGAGCAAAGCATCCAGGTGAACAGCTGTCTGCGATTGCAGCTGGAGCAGCAGTTGGATGGCGGGGGGAGCAAAGCCAGCCTCAGCCCCTCCTCCGCCCACCAGGAGGACCCTGGAAACAAGCAACTGCTCCTCCAAGGTAGGAAGGCAGGGGGACCAGGAAGCCCGTGGCCAGTGGGGCAGTGGCCAGGATGTCTGTGATGGAAGGGATCTTCCCTCTTCCACACTCCTTAGGGTCCAGGTGAAATCAGATTTATTTCAATCTCCAACCTTGGGCGAGAGGGTGGGATTGAGGGTCCCAGCTGGCTCGGGCTCCAGATTCTGAGTGTGCGGGTACAGGTTGCTTGCCTTGGGCACAGTGTTTGAAGTCCCCAGGTACTGAAGCCTTACTTTCCTCATCTTCAGGGTGAGGACAATAATCATATGTATCTTATGGACAATCATATGTATGTTATATGGTAATATGGTAATTAAGCCTTAAGTGCAATAATTTACAAGTGCCTGACATGGTAAGCATGGCTCAACAGTTAATAGCTTGTGAGTTAATATCTATTCCTTGTATTTGTGGAGTGCTTTAAAATTTACCACGAGTTTTCAAACAGTTTTCCAAACTGTTTCATCTGAGGTAAGGGAGGGTTTTTTTTTTTTTAAGATTTTATTTATTTATTTGACAGACAGAGATCACAAGTAGGCAGAGAGGCAGGCAGAGAGAGAGGAGGAAGCAGGCTCCCCACTGAGTGGAGAGCCCAATGCGGGGCTTGATCCCAGGACCCTGGGATCATGACCTGAGCCGAAGGCAGAGGCTTTAACCCACTGAGCCACACAGGCGCCCCGGTAAGGGAGGTTTTACTTTCATATTTCAATGTGGGAAAACTTCAGGATTGAGACATTAACCAGCTAAGACCCGACCGAGGATTTGAACTGGATGTTTTTATTTCCAGCTGCTGGCCTTTCTCCTCACGTCCTTCCTCCTCACCAGCCTCTGTCTCGGTATCGCTTGCCTTCCAGATTCCCATTCCCTGATTGGAGGGGAGCTCAGCTGAATGGAAACCATTCCTGTCCCACAGGCAATGCTGGTTGTGGAAAGCAGGGGGATGATAGCCCCCTTTATTCCCAGTGGCTATCATGCCCTCCCTCTCCCCTCCGCATCTGCCCTTCCAGATACTGTCTTGCCTGCTCTCTCCCTCTCTTCTCAATGTCCTTCATCCAACCCCCTTCGCCTAGCTTCACTCTGAATGTTAGTACTGTCCCCCCTCCATCTTGACACACTCATTTCAACTTATTCTTTTCTTTTTTTAATTAACCATCTTCTCTCACCACCAGGACTCTATTTTCAATTTTATTTCAGTAGGAGCCATTTCTGCTCAGGATTCTCTAAAGATGAGCTTTCAGACACGTTCCTGCCTGCTCTTCCTGGGGCATGTTAATCCTTAGCTTTTCCCCCTGGTCCTGCTAGATTTTCACTAATTAGGCACTGCCCTCACTTGTCAAATGAAGGTGACACTTCCAAGATCCTATGTTGTGGCCATTAGATGAGAAAGAGTCACATGGACTATGTATGTCCCATAGTAACTGCTTGGCCACAATAGGTGAATGCCTGGCTTCCCCTGGGGAGCTGTGATGGTTGTAGTGTTCAGTTATAACTCCCCACTCTGCCCTCCTGGCCTTTCCTCCGTTACTGCATCCCCACGACCCCAGCCAGGACTCAACCCCAGTGACTCCGACACTGTGCCCGGTCCTTACCCACCACAGTGGCCTGAGCTGGAGAGTTGGTTCTAGGCCACCTCCTGAGCAGGATTTCTTGCCTTCTCTGATATTTTCCAATTCTTCCACTGTAGGATTGCTGCCTGGTCTCCAGGAGGGCATCTCTAACCTGCCATGCCTTCTGTCTCTACCCTTCTCATCCTGCTACATTTTTCCCATCACTAACTCATCAGAATGGTGATTGGAATGCTAGCTTAATTGCCCACAAGTCCATTCACACTTTGATTCAGTATTTTTGACACATGTAGTACACATATCTGATGTGGAAATATTGGGGTTCAGAGCTCAAGAAAGAATTCTTGAGACCTTTTCAGTGCAAAAAGGTGTTTTTATGATAGCACGGGGACAGGACCGGTGGGCAAAAAGAGAGGCACCGGGTTTGGGAGGAGCCATTGATTATATACTTTAGAATTGGGGGAGGTACAGGCAAAAGGAAGTTTCTGAAAGGACTTTAATATGCTAAAGAAGACTCATGGGATCCTGGAGGCCTGGTTTTTGTGAAACTAAGACTGTTTTTCCCTCTAGTAGGTCATTAAGTTTAAGACAGTTGGGATTCCTGTAATGTCTTATTCTGCCTGCCTCAAATGTTTGTTAATGGACTGCAGGTTATAAGGAAATTTAACTTTATGTACATTTCCTTTTGCCTTTGTTCTCCACATCATAGGTTTAGTTACAAGGCAGTGTATTAAAAATTGCACACATAATTATATTCAAAACGCAGGCTAGAAAAATGCACCTAATAATCTTTCAAACCAGAAGTTGCTTCTCATGGAGCTCACTTCCATTAAATGGACATGTTCTTGTTCCAAACTAAGGGATTTGTTTGCTGTTGCTTACCATCACAGTTGGAGTATAATGAGGACAAAACACGCTGCCTTAGGTCTCTGCTGGTGATAACTAGGCTGTGCATGGGTTTGGTTAGTGGTGGTTCCAGGGTGCCCGAAATTGTTGTTGTTTTTACATCCTAGACTCCATTGCTTCTCCTCCAGTCCAAGATGTTGGCATGAATTCTCCAGCGCTCACATTCCCTAGCCTTTCTGCTGCTGCTCCTGGCTCAGAGACCACCATTTTCAAGAGGACAAATGGTAAATATGGCAACAGAAGGATTCAGGGATTGATGATGGAAAATTACCAATACAAGTAGCCTTTGGTTACTAAAGGGCACATTACCTGAATATAGAGATTTTTCTCCTCGGGTCCCAAAGTCTTTAGCCCTACTCATTGCAGCTTCTATGGCCCCCTGTTTTGCCATTATTCTTCCTCCTGTGGTTTTCCTATTGCTCTGTTGTGCTTCACTGCACAGTGATCTCTCCGTCCTTGAAAGTGCTCTCTGTGTCTGGCTTAATTTTTTTGTCTGGGTCTTCTTTTTAAAAATGGGTTTATTTTTTATTTATTTTATTTTATTATTTTATTTTTTCAGTGTTCCAAGATTCATTGTTTATGCACCACACCCAGTGCTCCATGCAGTATGTGCTCTCCTTAATATTCACCACCAGGCCCTCCCAAACCCTCACCCCCCTCCCTTCCAGAACCCTTAGTTTGTCTGTGTCTTCTTAACTGGAAATTTAAAATTTTTTATTAAAATAATATTTGTCCTGGATATTTCATTTGTCAATAAGGATAAAATTTTGCCTCCTGGCAATTTGATCATTATGAGATGATGTAAGAAAGATCATAAAAACATAGAACCCAGAAATCTATGGACTTCACACCTGGCTTGTACTTTTCCCAGAGTGCCTTTCCTATTCCTGGCCTCTTTCACTCCTTGATGTCTATTTTAGAATGAAGTGGACTGAGGATATGCTTATCACTGTGGATTCTATGTTGTTCTGGTCTTGTTTTTCAGAGCTGGATTTGGATGCTTCTCCAGTGATGAAGAATCCCAAGCTGGAGAGTGAAGCTACTGATGGCTCCTTTGCCAATAAGCATGGCCGCCATGTCATTGGCCACATTGATGACTACAGTGCCCTAAGACAGCAGATAGGGGAGGGCAAACTGCTGGTCAAAAAGATAGCAGATCTTGTGAGATCAGCCTGCACCTTCCCTGGCCGTGAAACTCAGGGCACAGAGGTAATCACACTGTAGGTCTTAAGTGCTCCTTTTCCTTGTGCCCTGTTTCCTTCTGATCTTAGCTCCTTCTTCCACTGCATATCTCCCATAGCTGAGTCTACATCTTCTGCTTACACCCAGCTGGGCCTTTCTTCTCCATCTCCTGTTTTCACTATACACTCTGCCCCGACTGACGTTTCCTCTCAGAGACACAGAAGAGCCAGAAGAGAATTGTGATCCTCATCTGTAGGGGATTTGCTGAGTATTGGCTTATGTGTCGTGCTCTACTGAGTACCCTCTGCTCACTTATTATCTGGTCCAGTCACCCTAGCAGGTGGTCATCTGTCGGCAGAGTAAAATCACTTAATCAGGTGGCTGGAAATTCAGGATTTGCATCTGCATGGGCCCCATGTTGTGGAAGGGGCGAAGCCTGGCAGCCATGGGATTTCTCTGGGCAGACTGAGCAGGGCAGGGAAGTGGGCAGCACACCTTCTCAGAGTGCTTCCCCTGTTCAGAGACCAGGTACCAGCTGCTGTGCTGTTTGAGGCACTGGAGGTACATGGATGTGCAGGGACAGCCCTGTCTGCAAGAGCCTCCACCCCAGAGAGAAGGCCACATATCCAAGTAAATAGGGACAACAGAGGATCTGGGCTCAGTGTCGGAAGCCATCCTCTGAGTTGGGAGGGTGCAAACACAGAAGGGGTCCTTGGGCCAGGCAAGGAAAGTCACAGGCTCCTAGAAGAACCACTGGTGAGATACACAGCTTCTCTGGGTGGTGGAGGATAGCATTCCAGGTAAAGGGAATGGCATCACAGTCCTTGGAGCTACAAAGGGTTCAGCCCAGTTGAAGCAGAGGTATGATTTAGAGATATGCATGGGGGTGCCAAAGCAAAAATCAGGGACCTTAGACCCAAGAGCACGGAGCAGGACTAGCAGCTTACAGAGAGTATGAGAGAAGTCAGAATCTAGTGATTCTTACAAGTTGGAGTTCACTGCTAAAGTGGAGATCCAGGGCTTCCAGGTTTAAAAATTGTTTCACAGGTTCAAGCAGGCCCATGTCTGTGCCTCACTCATGAGGGAAACCTGAGCCCTGTGCTGGGGTAGCCGGAGCAGGGGGAAGAGAATGATCTCTCAGTCTGGTGCCCAGGGCTATCTCCCCCTTCTCCCAGGTGCCTGGCAGCAAAGGCATCCATGAACTTGGGAGCAATGCCGAGGCCCTGCAGCACACGCTGGACGAGTCGGCCTCCCTCCTCACCATGTTCTGGCGAGCAGCCCTGCCCAGGTCCCCCAGCCCTGTCCTGTCTGACAGCACAGTGAGTGGCAGCCTCCTTCATCGCTTCTGCCCCAAATGCCATTCTGCCTCCTCAATTCCCAAGTCCTAAAGGTCAGGAGCTGGACAGTTGAGTTGGGACATGGGGCTTTAGGGGAGCGTCCCCGGGGGAAGACCTGTCATCCGTGGTGGCGGCTGGCAGGGCAGGTCCTACGACATCCCTTTTCCTCCCGCCCTGTTTGGGTTCTTTCACTTTCTGAACTTAGCTGAGCCAAAAAAATGTAGGGACCTGTGAAAATGTCGACATCCCCTTTCCCCACGCCATCCCCACAGAATGTCACCATGAGATGAGCAGCTTCCTGGAGCCACCCACTGCATCCCACACACAGCCTTCCTCCACATCTCTGGGCCAGGCCTGGAAGAGTCAGCCGCCCCACCACCAGGTGCTCTCAGATATGAGGCCTGGACTCTGGTCGGGGGGAGTATGGACAGCAAATTTTCTCCATCTCCCTCCTCCAGCCCCGCTTAGAAGCCCGAGGCCAGATTAAAGCACTAATACCTTATGGGCCCCAACTATGCTGGTTCTGAGGCAGAGGGTGTTCTGCCATCTTGAAGTTGTTCCAGAGATTTACAGAATTGCACACTATCTCCCCAGGCAAAACACGCCCAGCTAGCAAGTCTTATATGTGAGGCCCAGTTCTAGAACCAATGTCAGCACTGAATGTGTGCTCTTGGTCCACCGCTGGGAGTCCTGGCACTGCCCGGGTATCAGGGCCTCTACTGCCACAGGAGTGGAGGCCTGTGTCCATGTGCATGGGGGCTCCCGGGGTCTCAGCGTGCTGACCTAATGCCCTCAGTCTAAGCTGGCCTCAGCTGGAGCCTTCTAGTGTCTCTCCTGGAGGGACTCCAGTCCAGAAATCATTGAGAGGATTGTAGAATCCTGCTTTTGATTTTCAAAAGCCACAAAGCGTCGGGTGCTTGAGGCCTTCTGACCTGTGACAGAGAGCCTGTTTCCCTTCCCCAGGGACAGTCCTTGCAAAGGGAACTTCTGGAACTGAGAACCAGACTGTCCAAACAGGAGAGTGTCCTTCAGAGCACAGCGGAGCGTCTGAAGACTGCCAACCAGCAGAAAGAAAGCATGGAGCAGTTTATCTTCAATCAGTGTGGGTGCCCCTGAGCCAGGGGATGAGAGAGGAAAGTAGGGGTGGGAGGACTTCCAGGCTCCCCACTTGTGCTTCCGATGGACCCTGACCAGACAGACTGGGTGGGGTGGGGAGGAGGGCTGCGGACCAGTGTGATGTCCCCAAACCTCCTGTGCCATTAGTAATTGGGGATGCAGCGGGAGGGGTGCATGGGGCAGCAGGAGACCCTGATCTGAGCCGCCAGAAAGACACCCTTTGGAACACACTAGGCAAGTATGGCCCCAGATGGTCACTTCTACCTATTGGGCTGTTTTGTTGTTTTAGTGACCAGGACACATGATGTTTTGAAGAAGGCAAGGATTAATTTGGAGGTAAGGACACCACTGCACCTGCCAGAGCCACAGAACCCAGCCCAAATCCATCCCCACCTGTCTTCAGAGTGTGCATATGATCCCTGATCCACTCTGACCTTTCAGGAGATTTCAGTCCATTCCTAGGACTCAGGTCCTCACTAAATGTCCTTCTAGCTTCGCTCCCCATCTCCTCTCCCACCCCAGTCCCTTCCCTGCCATCTCATCTCCCTGTGACATCGTGACCCTCTTCTCTCCTCACTGCACTTCTTCCCTCCTCTAGGCCAAGTCAGGAGTCCGAGGAAAGCAAGTGAGTTGATTCCCAAGACCAGAGGACATGGGGAGTATGCCTCTAAATTAGCTTCTAGGAAAGGGGCTCTGGGGCCAGCTCTAGTGTTTCCTGTAACCCTTTTCACTTCATGAAAAAATAAACCCGAGATGCCATCAAATCAGTTGAATCTGTTGCACACTCTATTGGCAGAGAATAGCCATTCAATCTTGATCTTTCTTTTTCCAAAGGAAACCAACCATTGCGTCTTCTTGACCTAAAAGAGAATTTGATAATAAATAAAAATGAAACTTGAAGGGAAACATTTTGTGTATATGGCAGGTATTCTGCACATTTACTTGAAATACTAACCTGATCCCTAGCAAGTAAGCTGAAGTGTACCAAATGGCTTGTAAATCAGAAACTAAACCTTTAGGGGAACCTGGGTGGCTCAGGCAGTTGAGCATCTGACTTGATCTTGGCTCAGGTCTTGATCTCAGGGTTGTGGTTTCAAGCCTTGTGTTGGGCTCCACGCTAGCCATGGAGATTCCTTAAAAAAGAATAGGGAAAGAAACTAAACCCTTCACTGGATGTTAAAGTTCTGCCATAAGTAATTGGACCTTTTCCTGGGAATGTCCCTTATGTAGCCTGAGAGAATATTGATCCCATGGTGTGAAAATGGGTAGGGCCATGACTTCACCCTCCCCCTCAACCTTTTTTTTTTGTTTGTTTGTTTTTCTAATTCCCTTTTTTTCTTCTCTGATGATTCCTTTCTTTCCTGAGCCTCTTTAGAAGAACACATACAAGATGGCCTCTGTAAAGCCTTATTCCTGTCCCAGCAAAGGTAACCCAATAGCCCCACACACCCACTGGCTTCCCCATGTTTGGAAGTTTCCTCTGCACTTTCCAGAGACCAATGGAAAGGGCCTGAGGCCTGCGTTCCAATCCCAGGCTTGTCACTAACCGGCTCTGTGGCCTTGGCCCATCCATCTGTAAGAGGTGGCACTAGGGGCTGTTGGAGCTCCCTGCTGATGGGGACCCTCCCTCTCCTCATTAAGTACATGGGACATGAACTGAACAGGGGACTTCCCTGCACCACGTCCTCTCCTTCCTATAACAGGCTGTTTCTTCATGGGCATGTTTCATACTAAGTGCTTCGGTTCCCGGGAGGTCACAGAAGCCATCGTTTTGCTCCAAGTGAACTAGGGAGTGGACTGGCCTGTGAAGATCTGAGCACCTCATGTGCAGTGGCTCTGAGCAGGGCTGTCACCCGCCCAAGGTGGTGGGGAAACTTCCCTCTTACCTGGTGGCTTGAGGGGCTCCACAGATCCACACCCCCTCCCCTGGGCTCATCCTTCTGACAGGCTCTCGCTGAGCTCCAGGCTCAGCCCCCGCCCAGTGCTCACTGCAGCTCAGGGAGCCACCAGCAGAACCTGATCCTAGGTTCTCACCTTGTCATATTTCTGTCTCCAGGTGAAGTCTCTAAGGGTGCTGCCGTGCACCCTAGTCTTGTGACCCTTGCCTTCCAGGAGCCACTGAAGAAAAGGAGCCACCGGAGGTCCTTCAAACAGCAGGAAGACTGGGCCTGTCCCCCTTTGGTGCAGATCCCAATCTGCTGAGGAGACCTGGAGCCCAGTCCTCCACACCTGCCAGAGGGTCCCATCCTCTTCCCGGTGGAGGAGGATGAGGTCAGACAGCCTCTCCTGTGGCTGAGGAATACCACCCACCAGGGGCTGCTCATCCCAGCACTGGTCTGTAGAGGAGCTCCTGACAATGCTTCTGCACACCTCACTGGCCTGGGAACCGGACATAGCCAGTCCTTGCTCCAACGCCTGCCCTCAGACGGTCAGCTCAGGGCACACAGGACCCTGCTTCCTACAGATGGGACCTCTGATCCCCACACAGGAGCTCCTCAGCCCTTTCCAAAGCCCACGAGTGACAGCAGTGCCCTGAGGGCCAGTGGGGCTCAGCCAGCACAACTCCCAGATCCATGCTTCCCTGGGGCTGGCTTAGCCTGGCCACCGATCAGCTGGGCATCCATCTACACCAAGGCACCTGCGTGCTTCGAATGCTCCTGGTGAAAGCGGTGGCTTCCCATGTGCCATCTCCTGCTTAGCCTAGCACCTCCTAGTTCCCTTCTTTTATGATCTCCGAAGTGTGGCCACCTCACTCTGAATACGCCGTTCCCTTTCATCACCCTAACTCCTCTCTGGGGAACTTGGGCTCAGGGTCAGCCCAAGCCCATTGAAAGTCCTATAAGACAAACCAGTGATCATTTTTAAGTGGCACCTGAGAAGTCCCAGTTGTGGGAAAGCCTAGTCTGTGTCCTGACAGTGCTTTAGAAGGCATGTACGTGTGTATAAATGTACGATAGATATTTATATATGTTGCTATAGTAATTTCTCGAGGGCAACATAACTGGTGGACAGGGTCAGTTAGAGGAAATGAAACACAGTCCTTTTGGTGGCTATGAAAGTAAAATGTGTACAAAGAAATAAAAGTTTTTTCCTTACCTGCTCTGATTTTGGCACCAGTCTCTAGGCTGAGCGTGTAAGTGTAGGAAAGACACACTGTCACTAAGAAGGTCATAGACTACTATTGAAGTCTAAGTTTAAAAGGAGTTTTGCCTTCTCTGTCATTTGTAAGAATCCCCAATCTAAAAGTATTAGAGAGTGGTTCTTAGGTTTGGATAGCCTTAGAATCAGCAGTGGAGATCACAGGAGCCACTTCTTGGGCTCCAATCCCAAGTATTTCATTGGTGTGTGGCCTGAGAATCTGCATTTCTTACACAAATATCCCCAGGTTCTTCTTTTCTTTTTTCTTTTGGGTTTCAGAGTTTTTGTGGTTTTTTTTTTTTTAGCCTTTAAAAAAAAAATCTCTTTTCAGCGTTCCAAATTCATTGTTTATGCACCACACCCAGTGCTCCATGCAATGCGTGCCCTCCATAATACCCACCACCAGGCTAAACCCAGCCTCCCACCCCTTTCCCCTCCAAAACCCTCAGATTGTTTCTCAGAGTCCACAGTCTCTCATGGTTCATCTCCCCCTCCAATTTCTCCCAACTCCCGTCTCCTCTCCAGCTCCTCCATGCCCTCCATGTTATTTCTTATGCTCCACAAATAAGTGAAACCATATGATAATTGACTCTGCTTGACTTATTTCACTCAGCATAATTTCCTCCAGTCCTGTCCCAAGTCATCCTTCCTGATGGAGGCATAATACTCCATAGAGTATATGGACCACATCTTCCTTATCCATTCATCCGTTGAAGGGCATCTTGGTTCTTTCCACTTTGGTGACTGTGGCCATTGCTGCTATGAACATTGGGGTACAGATGGCCCTTCTTTTCACTACATCTGTATCTTACCCCAGGTGATTCTGATGCAGACCACAGTTTAAAACTGTTGTTCTCCAACATTGACCCAAAAGTATAGAGTTGTTTCACTTCGATTGATAACCTTTAACTGAAAAGTGTATATAAGTCCTTCCATAAATGTTGGCACAGAGATCTGCAAATATTCCTTGGGAAGAGTCCTTAGTTATGTTCTTTTGCTTTCCAAGAATTACTATAAAGCTATCACTCCACAGTTATTTCCTAGAGAGTCACAACCACAGACAACAACAAACAAACCCTCAAATAGTATCTCACAACCATCACCACCACTGCGACCAGTAACAGACCCAGGGAAAGTCTCCCACCTGAGGTAGGGATGTCCTCTATTTTATCAGTCAATGGAGTGACTCCACATCTGCTCTCCTGCTCTGTTGTTCAAGTATTTCCACGAAGGCCTTTGGCTATCAATACATAGGAACTCACTGGCCCAATCGGCTGAATGGATAAATGTCAATAAGCTATCAAGGCAAAGAAACCAAGCATGAGACCATGTCACCCTGTGCTTATTCCAGCATCCCAGTGATTTCTCCTCCATCCCTCTGCCGCCAGGGCTGCTGCACTCTGATGGGATAGTCAGTAATCAGTGAAGAACTCAGACACTGCTTCTACAAAATTCTTTTTAAGTACATAACATTTAGGAAAGCAACAGCATATGATGTCATATTAACCTCACTCTGCTCAGGATCCAGTCACAGATCAGTTGCTTTTCACCCTTTGTGAAAGGCTGAAAAGTAGCTTTGTGCCTTAAGAGAACTCGTTGCAACAAAAATGTAGCTTTGATGGGAACATGGTCCAATATTCACCTCTTTGTAAGTTATGTCCTAACCCTCCCTGTGAGAGTAACAGAGTCCACTCTTGAAATATCTTTCTGTGTGGCTGCCAATGGCTTCCACTTGGCATAATTCCCATAAGAACCTGGCTGAGCCCATGCAGGGAATGGACTGTGAATCCCACAGAAAAGAATGGAAAGAAAACAGGTGGCAGGTGATGAGGAGAGCAAAGGCCAGTGAAATGTAAATAAAAGTAAATTTCCTTACAGTCTCTTATAACACCTAAAAATCCCTTTGGAAACGTCTTTATCTCCACCCTCCACCCCCAACGAACAGTATATGATAAACCACTCCTCACAATCCCAGGGCACCTCTTCCTGTCCAAGGGTCCTGTCCCTGAACTTTAATAAAAACACCTTTTTTGAAAGAAGTTGCTGTGGCTGATATCGAAGAGGTTACTGCCTATGTTCTCCTCTAGGATTCTGATGGATTCCTGTCTCACGTTGAGGTCTTTTATCCATTTTGAATTTATCTTTGTGTACGGTGTAAGAGAATGGTCGAGTTTCATTCTTCTGCATATAGCTGTCCAGTTTTCCCAGCACCATTTATTGAAGAGACTGTCTTTTTCCCACTGTATATTTTTCCTGTTTTGTCAAAGATTAATTGACCATAGAGTTGAGGGTCCATATCTGGGCTCTCTACTCTGTTCCACTGGTCTATGTGTCTGTTTTTATGCCAGTACCATGCTGTCTTGGTGATCACAGCTTTGTGGTAAAGCTTGAAATTAGGTAATGTGATGCCCCCAGTTTTATTTTTGTTTTTCAACATTTCCTTAGCGATTCGGGGTCTCTTCTGATTCCATACAAATTTTAGGATTATTTGCTCCAGCTCTTTGAAAAATACCGGTGGAATTTTGATCAGAATGGCATTAAAAGTACAGATTGCTCTAAACACTATAGACATTTTAACAATGTTTATTCTTCCGTTCCAAGAGCATCTTGGATCTTTTGTGTCTTCTTCAATTTCTTTCATGAGTGTTCTGTAGTTCCTCGAGTACAGTTCCTTTACCTCTTTGGTTAGGTTTATTCCCAGGTATCTTATGGTTCTTGGTGCTATAGTAAATGGAATCTATTCTCTAATTTCCCTTTCTGTATTTTCATTGTTAGTGTATAAGAAAGCCACTGATTTCCGTACATTGAGTTTGTATCCTGCCACGTTGCTGAATTGTTGTATGAGTTCTAGTAGTTTGGGGGTGGAGTCTTTTGGGTTTTCCATATAAAGAATCATGTCATCTGCGAAGAGAGAGAGTTTGACTTCTTCATTGCCAATTTGGATACCTTTTATTTCTCTTTGTTGTCTGATTGCTGTTGCTAGGACTTCTAATACTATGTTGAACAAGAGTGGTGAGAGTGGACATCCTTGTCGTGTTCCTGATCTCAGCGGGAAGGCTGCAAGCTTTTTCCCATTGAGGATGATATTTGCTGTGGGTCTTTCATAGATAGATTTGATGAAGTTCAGGAATGTTCCCTCTATCCCTACACTTTGAAGTGTTTTAATCAGGAACGGATACTGGATTTTGTCAAATGCTTTTTCTGCATCAATTCAGAGGACCATGTGGTTCTTCTCTCTTCTCTTATTAATTTGTTCTATCACATTGATTGATTTGCGAATGTTGAACCATCCTTGTAGCCCAGGGATGAATCCCACCTGGTCATGGTAGATAATCTTTTTAATATGCTGTTGGATCCTGTTTGCTAGGATCTTGTTGAGAATCTTAGCATCCATATTCATCAGTGATATTGGTCTGAAATTCTCCTTTTTCGTAGGGTCTTTGCCTGGTTTGGGGATCAGGGTAATGCTGGCTTCATAGAAAGAGTCTGGAAGTTTTCCTTCTGCTTCAATTTTTTGAAACAGCTTCAGGAGTTAGGTGTTATTCCTCTTCGATATCAGCCACAGCAACTTCTTTCAAGATATGTCTCCAAAGGCAAAGGAAACAAAAGTGAAGATGAACTTTTGGGACTTCATCAAGATCAAAAGCTTCTGCACAGCAAAGGAAACAGTCAACAAAACAAAGAGGCAACCCACGGAATGGGAGAAAATATTTGCAAATGACAGTACAGACAAAAGGTTGAAATCCAGGATCTATAAAGAACTCCTGAAACTCAACACACACAAAACAGACAATCATATAAAAAAATGGGCAGAAGATATGAACAGACACTTCTCCAATGAAGACATACAAATGGCTATCAGACACATGAAAAAATGTTCATCATCACTAGCCATTAGGGAGATTCAAATTAAAACCCCATTGAGATACCACCTCACACCAGTTAGAATGGCCAAAATTAGCAAGACAGGAAACAACGTGTGTTGGAGAGGATGTGGAGAAAGGGGAACCCTCTTACACTGTTGGTGGGAATGCAAGCTGGTGCAGCCACTTTGGAGAACAGTGTGGAGATTCCTCAAGAAATTAAAAATAGAGCTTCCCTAGGACCCTGCCATTGCACTACTGGGTATTTA